TTTAACCCCCCCCACGAAAAAAACCCCCCCCCCGTGCCCCCCCCCCCCCCCCCCCGGCCCAGTGGGATGGGGGAGAAAATCAGGAAAAGAAGTAAAACTCGTGGGTTGAGATAAGAACAGTTTAATAGAACAGAAAAGAAGAAACGATAATGATAACACTAATAAAATGACAACAGCAATAATGAAAGGATTGGAATGTACAAATGATGCGCAGTGCAATTGCTCACCACCTGCCGATCAACACCCAGTTAATCCCCGAGTGGTGATTCCCTGCCCCCACTCGCCCCAGTTTCTGTACTAGATGTGACGTCACATGGTATGGAATACACTGTTGGCCAGTTTGGGTCAGCTGTCCTGGCTCTATCCTGTGCCAACTTCTTGTGCCCCCCCCAGCTTTCTCACTGGCTGTGCATGAGAAGCTGAAAAATCCTTGACTTTAGACTAAACACTACTTAGCAACAACTGAAAACATCAGTGTTATCAACATTCTTGGCATACTGAACTCAAAACACAGCACTGTACCAGCTACTAGGAAAACAGTTAACTCTATCCCAGCTGAAACCAGGACAACTTTTTTGGTCAGGCATCTTAAACAGATTGCTGTTAGCAATTCTCTTCAGTTTCTACTGTGGATATGTTGGGAACGTTATATTCAGTTCAGTCACAATAGTTGTTTTCATATAATAGTTTCTGAAATTTGTTAGGCCTTTTTTTTTTTGTAGTGGTAGTAATGGATTGTTTTTAACTTTTTTATTTTTTATTACTACTTTAAGTTTACATACAATCACGGAACTTTAAGACTTTGAGATCAAGAGCAAGACGTCTGCAGTCAACATCTGAACAATTCACAGAAACAAAAAATTCACTTTCTTCCCTTTTGAAGGTAAATACGGGTAACATTATGAAGTTGTTTTGGGCTTATTCAGACTATCTCTTTCTCTTGAATGAATCTTTACGATTTACCAAGGGTGTTTTGTTTCACTAGCGTGAAAAAAATTCTTAATTCTAAAACTTGACCTAATGATAACATAGTGTTTTTCTTACTAATACACAGATTTGCTTCTTATATCTCAATATAAAGATCATTTGAATTTTTTAGGAGAGTAGTTTCAGAGTAAAATGGTTCTGAACTCTAGAAATAAAACTTCATGTTTTGTTTGCGTGGCTTTGTTAAAAACAGCTTGGAGTCAAATGAAGTATTTGTTTAAACAGAAATACAGCTAGTTTAACATAGAAGAATGTGTATTTTTTCAAGCAGTTCAGCATGTGATTGATGTTTTAAGAATAGATTGACTTGTGGCTAGTATATTTTTAAGATATAAAAAATTTAAAATTGGTATTTTTATGGGTTACAAACTCACTTACATACTTAATTCAGCAGATTGCTACCCCAAGCCTGGATAGTTAAGCACTTAACAAAACCAAGTTAACCTAGGTACTGTTTGCTTCTAATTGGTTGTACAGAAGTCAGGCTAATTAAAGCATTTGATCTTATTGTGTGTGTAAATTAGCTTTGAACTCTCCCCTTCTAAGCATATGTGGTTTATTTCATCTGTGGACTAGGTATACAGTGGATGAAGATAAACCAGAGCTAGCTCCATGCAGTGCTATTCTTAAATTTGGCAGGGCATATGAGATGCATTTGATCAAGCTCAATCAAAACTATACTTAAAAGATATTTTGCATTTGGGAATAATTTAAGTTGATTTCAAGATGCAAAATGCTTAAGCTAATACCTCCCACTGAATCCAGTGTACAAAGCTAGCTGTGTACAAATCTGCCTTAGGCTGTGTTTTCTGTTTGGAACTGGGATCCAGGAGGGCTCTGAACCTGACCTGTTCAGCAAAAATCAGGGTGCCCCTGCTGGAGCTGTTGTGGTTCCACACTCAAGCTACTGCCCCATGTCGCCTGACTAACCCCATAGCATCTAAATTATATGCCTCCCCCACCGCCTCACCTCCCCATGCTGGCCAGGTAGTAAGTTAACTATGTATCACAACTTAGTGTATACTAACACTGCTGTGGAAAATATTTTAGGGCTTTATCCTGAGAAAGCGAAGAATTGATGTTGAAAACTTAGATACGCTAATGAAAACAAAAAACATCCCAGAGGCACACCAGGATGCTTTTAAAACTGGTTTTGCAGAAGGCTTTTTGAAAGCACAAGTATTCCTGCAAAAAACACTTGGTAAGTTGTTTTAGTTCACATATCTTGTCTTTGCTTTCAGAAAGTAGTTTATTTCAGCCTGTACTAAAACTTGTTTTGTTTTCTTTTACAGATTCCTTAAGAAGATCACGTTTGCTTTCTTTCTTTCTCTTCGTTCTTTGTTTTTATCTTGCTATATATTCATCATTTTTACCTGGCAAAGGTTCCTTTTCTGATGCTGGTTAGTTAACTTTTTTCTCTGCACTGTTTCACTTGTGTTGTTTCTTCAAACAGATTTAGCACAAATTAAATTGTTATCACCTGGGTCTCAAGAACGTTAGGGTATGTGCAGAAACACTGAGGGAGAACTTCTGGCTTTGTATATGTGCTTTTGGATGCAGGGTTTTCTGTACTACAAATGACTGAAAAGCTCTTGCATCACTGAATTAATTGCAGATATTTTAAAGATTTTTTTTTTTTTTTTAAATATTATTCTTGCTGGACACTTGTAAATGGAAACTTGCCCTTTTAAAAGGGCAGGTGTAAAGTTAGTGGCTTAATGGTATGCATTCAAGTGATTCAAGCGCAAAGTTCAGTCTTGGAATGAAATGACTTCATGTGTAAATTTGTTGTTTATCATCTGCTGTTTGCTATTAGTACGCTTTCGAACATCGAGTATCTTTGATGCAGCAGTTGATCCAATCCAGTTGAAAAATGTTACCTTCGAACATGTAAAAGGGGTAAGTTCAAAATTAAAGTGTGTGGGGGTTCTTGCTTAATTAATCATTGTGAGCCTGAAGAATGTCTTACTCTGTTCAAGAAACTTCGTTGTATGAACTGAAGCCTTATACATATTGACTGCTCCAAGATAAAGGAGAGTTTTAACCACAATTGTTCTGTTTTATATCTTTGTGGCATTTAATGCGTTATAAAAGGTGCACTCTTGACTTGTTGAATCGCATTTTTAAAGGCTAGAATAGCAAAAGGCAGGCCATAAGTATCCATGTTAATTTATTTTTTGCAGAAATTGACCAATACAAGAAGATGGTAATGCCATTTAATCGTTTCTGTCTTAGATATTCGAAAGAGATGGTACTGATACTAGGACAGGAGATACAGAGATTCCCAGAAAGTAGTGGGCATGTCACTGCTGATGAGATAGCTTTATTTTTTTCAACTGTTCTTTGGCTGTCAGTGGCAAAATGAGGACCTCCCCCTCTCCTTCCCCTTGGACAAATAGATACAATTAATCTCTTTTTAAATAATTAGACTAGTATCTTGATGTAGAATTTTTGATTCTGTATTTATCTTGTTGGTCAGATCTGGTCTTTAACTGTTTGGTTATTCCTTCAGTACTATAAACTTTAGTATTTACTGATTCCTGTGAACAATTCTAGGATATAGGTTGAATTAAACTAATGGACACTCAGTATCCACAGAAATTCTGTACACTTTTTTTATCTTTTCTTTCTGTTGTATATTTTTGGTCAATACACAATTAGAGACTTAGTCTCTAACACAAAACCCACCTACAAAAAAAGATGCAGTATTTTATAAATGCTTAGTTATATTTTGTGGCATGTTTTTAATGTGTAGGTTGAAGAAGCTAAACAGGAATTGCAAGAAGTTGTGGAATTCTTGAAAAACCCGCATAAATTTACTGTACTAGGAGGTAAACTTCCAAAAGGTAAGAATCATTGCTCAGCAGAAGTGAAAATCATATGTAGCCATGGCTATCTTTGTAGCTTCAGTTCTATACTGAATGACTAATTTATAGCCTAGCTTCTGAATACTTTTTCCTTCAGTTAGGGAATCAAAAAAGCATATAACCAAAATGGGCCTAAATACTACTGTTGTATTGGAAAAATAGTGAAATAATGTAAGGCATAGGTAGTGGATTTCCTTGTTTGTTTAAAATATTTGAGGAACAAATGAGTCTTCAAGGAGAGTTGTGAAATCTTCTGTACTAAAGGATACTCTTAAATGAGGTACTTAAGAGTTGGGGTGACGGTAGTTAAGTTGCATGCTTCCTGTCTTACCTTCGGTTCCCCATGTGTAAAAATTGGTCATTGCTGCCTATCCCCACAGAGCATTTGAGGTATCTGAGATATTCAGATAGAAGAAGCAAAGGTGCCTGGATACATCTTACATTTTGTAGAAATTCAATAATAGCATTAGGGGTAATAAGCTATGACAGTGCAAAGCAGTGGACTGTAGATTCCAGGCAGAAAGCCTTTCAAAAATCAAACCTCTGTTTATAATTGTTAGCAGCCTTATTTAGAGGGTTAAGAATCAATATTTCTTTGAAGTCCCAAGAAACCTTTTAGAGATGATGTACTGAACTACAAAAACTCTTTTGCTTTGTCACTGAATGTAACATAGTATTAAAAAATTACTTACTGATAAAATTATGTATAATTGGTGTTAATGCCTTTTTGAGTAGTACTTTATGTAGCTCAGAGGTTTTGAGGTCTGTCTTCCCCTTCCTTCCACTGCTCCTTTAACTGTCTCTATAAGGATATCTTTTTTTTAAAGTTAATAGCTTCCTATCACCAATTCTTTTAATTCTGTTATACCTTTTCTCATCCAAGAAAGATGCGTAAGTTTAGTCTTGAGAACTTACCCAAGATAATGCAAAAATGTCCAAAAAAGAACCTGTATTATGCAAATGAATATGTTGGGGTTAGACAAAACTTACTGTACCTTCTTTAGTTATTAAACTAATATATAGTAGTTCTTTATCTTGAAAGGCAGGGGGGTTTATGTAACTGAACTCTTAAAAGGCCTTTATTTCTTCCTTGTGGCTTTCAGCACCTTTAGTGCTTCCTAGCTGCTTTATAGACAGTTCAGAAACAAATGTTTTCATTTAAAAGGATGATTAAGCTTAATCATAGTAGAAGGTCAAATGAATCTGAAATATGTAAACCTGGTAAGTCTCTATCCTGTTAGTGCTCTACACTGTTTAAAGACAATTACTTGGAATCATTTAATTAAAAAAAAAAAAAGTTCCACTTTCAGAAACGGCTAGGAGAATGTCAGTTTGAGGAAGACACTGTTAGGGATTCAGCTGCTGAACTCAACAGTGATTTCGCAGAATACTTCAGGCTTCTGTAGAAACAGATAGTCTTGCAAGTCTTTGTTGTTTAAATACATATTAGAGTGTATCTAGATCTGTTATAGAAGCTTCTTCAGACTGCAAGTAAGGAACAGTATCTGAAATGGGATGTTAACAGCTTTTTGACGCAAAGTGTAAATTATTTCTTCTAATGCATGGAAGAAATGGTACCTGTGTAATATGTGGGCTTAGTGTTTTTGTTGTTGTTTGGGTTTTTTGTTTGTCTTTATAGGTATTCTGTTAGTTGGACCACCTGGTACTGGTAAAACTCTTCTTGCACGGGCTGTAGCGGGTGAAGCTGATGTTCCATTTTATTATGCATCTGGATCAGAGTTTGATGAGATGTTTGTTGGTGTAGGAGCTAGTCGCATCCGAAGCCTATTCAGTAAGTTAAATACTTGTGGTTTTGAAATCTTTTTATGTGCGAGATTAAGTATTCAGTGTTGTTTACAAGGTTTGATTAGGTACAGTTCTGGTTACTGGAAAGTAGTAGTGTATGAGGCTAATAAATAAAACTTTTAACTGTGTAGGTAAATCTCATAATTCTGTGAGCATCAATTAACTGTAGAATCCTGCTAGTTATCAGATGAAATTATAGCAAAAGTTATAACTGATGTTTACAACATTCCCAGCGAGAAGTAATTTAATTAGAAATGTCATGTCCTATAAACTAAATGGAGTATTTAAAATTGTAATTTACTTAGTCATATGTAAATTATTGTAAATTTGAAATTGTAAATTTAGGATAAAAAATAGCATTAACTTTCTCAATTATTTCCCTCATATTTTCGTAATTTTTTAAAAATCTGAATTAGAGCTTTACAGCATCACAGTGTAGCACTAAGAGGAGATTTCCTTTCTCACCCCCATCAACAGGCCCAGGGCATTATAATGAAACTTTTAAAATTAGTGTTTAGATTGATAACTTTCACAGAAGAGGCTTTCTATTTTAAGTATGCAAATAAGTATTATCAGGAGAGGAGGGAATTCCACTTCTCTCTTAAATGGAAGATTGATAGTGTCAGGCATATACAACGTAGAAAGTAGTTTGCATTTGTAGGAGAAAACGTGACTTGCTTCACGTGGAAGGGATGCAAAATGTAACACATGTTGTACCTTAAAATGTGCTTTTCTTTCTGTTGACTACAGAAGTTTAGATGACTGACTTGTACATTAATATCAATGTTACAAGTATGTCTAGCTGGGTGAGATGAGTTGCATCCTGGTATGCATGTACCTGTTGATGGTCTTAAAGTTTATTATTGCGTTTTTATTTTCTGTTTTCAATACCTGTAAACTTGAGGGTGAGGTCTTCACTGTTAAATAACAAGCAGGTTCTATTAAAATAAGTTAACATTTAGACCTGTCACATTTCATATTATTTTTATTTAATAAGTGAATGTTGTCTGCCCAAGCCTATAAAATAAAATGTTGTAGGGAGTTGATACAAAATACAACAAATTTCTTAATCTATTTTGTTAGTAATTTCTTGTAGCATGATAAGTGGAGATGAAGAAACTTGCTTCTCTTTTTGTATTGCTTCATTTCAGATATATATTTTGGTTTTTTTAGGCTAAAATCAAGACAGTTCTGGTGATGTCTCATAGAACACTTTATAATCCAAGAGTAATAGAAATAGTAGAATCCGAAATTACATAATACACTGTCTGTTCCTTTGTGTGGTTGAAGTGTCTTGCTATTTTTGTTTTGTCAGGGGAAGCAAAAGCAAATGCACCATGCGTTATATTTATTGATGAGTTGGACTCTGTTGGTGGCAAGAGAATTGAATCTCCAATGCATCCCTATTCAAGACAGACTATTAATCAACTTCTTGCTGAAATGGATGGGTAAATATATGGATTCTGAGGGCACAGAAAGTGCTTGACTGACTGGTATTTTGAATATTTGGGTGAATTTTTCTTCCTTTACAGCTTTGATGTTTTTCGTTATTTTTTGCAATGCTTTTAAGGGTACAAATTTCAGATGCTTTTATGACCACTTTTTAGTACTGCCAACAGTAGCATTAATGGCCTTACTGTAAAGAATGTAGAAGCTTCTGAGTTGTAGTAGCACAATAGCTGCAATTATTTTAAATAATTTCTCAAGTTTTTTAGGCTGGCTATGTATCTAAAGGAGAAGTTCAAGTGTGAAATCAGGGCATGTTTTTAACCAGTTGCTGGGTTAAATGTGGTCATTTGTGGATAACGTTATGGTTTGATAGCTTGTTTTTGACTAGCCAGTTGAGGTAGTCTGAAATAAGAAATAGAAGTAGTTATTGACAAAAAAAGGTGTAAATTCTGTCTCCTCCCCCCCAAAAAAACCCAATTTCACCCTTTTTTTTTTTTTTTCCATCCAGCTTTAAACCTAATGAAGGTGTTGTTATTATTGGTGCAACAAACTTCCCTGAAGCGTTAGATAAGTGAGTATATTGTATTGATCATTTTTACAGAGCATGTATTAAAAAACAAAGAAACAACAAAAAACCCCACCCTGCAACAACAATGAAGTTGCTTGTGATAATCTTCAAGTATTACAGCATTATAGCTGGGGTTTTTCCCCCTCTCAAAAAGAATATGTATGGACCAATTATGGCATTTAAAAGGTTGTTGAGTGAAATACGGACAAATAATTAACATGCTTCTAAGCATCTAAAATTTCTAGAAGTTTTTCTGCTTAAATTGACCAGTTGCATTCCTTGTTTGCAATGCAAATTTTCAAATGCAAAAAAAACCTTTAAAAAGGGTTGGTAATAAACATCTTTCATCTGTCTTTTTACAGACAGATAAGAAAATGTATTCTTTGCATCTGTACACCAGACATAGTTTATGTAGTTGTCTTTAGAAATATCAGATGGATTTTTGTTCCTTGTATATGTTAGTAACAGTTTACTGCAGCATTTTAAGTTGATGTATTAAATTGTCTTTTCCCTTAGTGCTTTAATACGTCCTGGTCGCTTTGATATGCAAGTTACTGTTCCCAAGCCTGATGTAAGAGGTCGTACAGAAATTCTGAAGTGGTACCTTAATAAAATAAAGTATGACCCATGTAAGTAAATACTTTACTGTAATACCTCTTTATGTAGCAGTTTTTATCCTGGATCAGCCCACTCATGTATTAGTCCTTTATGCCATCAGCGATTGTGGCTTTACCGTGTGTCTCAGTAAAGAACACAAAAAATTGTCTAGTATGTACTGTTTCGACAGTTTTCTGAGGCAGTGTTTCTTTCTAGTCCCCAACAGTTCATAGTGTCTTAAGAATTCGGCTTCACTTCTTCTAAAGCTGAAAAGTTTTTGTTTGATGCATTATTTCTAGTAGAACATGATTCTTGGTTGTAATTCAGTAATTTCTTGATGTTTCTTCATTTTACAAGCTTTTTCAGGAGCAACATGGACCCTAATGACAAGTTTGTTTTTCCCCACAGCTGTTGATCCAGAAATAATTGCACGAGGCACAGTAGGATTTTCTGGAGCAGAGCTTGAGAATCTTGTAAATCAAGCTGCCTTAAAGGCAGCTGTTGATGGAAAAGATATGGTAACCATGAAAGAACTAGAATTCTCTAAGGACAAAATTCTAATGGGTACGATTTTATACAAAAGACATACATATATGTTGCAGTACACAGGGGTTTTCTTGTGTGATTAAGACTTTTATAGAGAAAGAGAGAAGTTTTTATGCTGTTGGGTTTTGGTTTATTGTTTTTTTGGGTGGGTTTTGTTTGTTTGGTTTGTTTTTTTAGAATAAATAAGTCTCCTGTTAGTTAATTCTGAATAGAACCTTTGGAGACTGGAGAGTATTATGTAAAATCTAGTATGGAATACATTCTTTAAGACTTGATACTTTTTATCAAAAACGCTGCATGTTGTACTTCAGCCTAGAGGAAGACACAGGCTTGATATCTTACCCTTCCCTTACTTATTCCTAAAGGAAAGGACAGAATGAACAACCAGAAACTTGGAACTTCTGTTTAACTTGTCATGTGATAACACAAAACTTAAACACCTGAGACATACACACTAAAAATCTGGTCTGTTCATATAGGAGAGAAGAAGTGGAATTTTCTCAGATACTCAGACTGCATTTTAAATCTATTCCATTAAAAGCAACCTGTCTGTAGAGTATATTGAGGTCCATTTTAGGCATTAAAATCCTATGTGTAAACATTTTGCACTTAATGAATGTGTGTTAATTTTGTTTGCATGCTGTTCCTCAGCAACTTTATGCTCTGTTTGAGTGTACGTAATGTGTGGATCGTGGTGGTCAGCTGTACAAAAAGTTTATTTAATGTTCCTCTGTTTAAGGACCTGAACGTAGAAGTGTAGAAATTGATGAGAAAAACAAAACCATCACTGCTTACCATGAATCTGGACATGCTATCATTGCATATTATACTAAGGATGCAATGCCGATCAACAAGGCTACAATCATGACACGAGGAACAACACTTGGACATGTGAGTATTTCTAGAACTTTATGTTGGGTTAGTGTTGTTGAGGACTTTGCCAACAATGCTATTTGTTTTAATTACATTAATGCATATTGTAGTGTGTGAAATATTCATGAGCAATCTCTTGGAAAACTCGCTGGTCATCTTTTCTGTGTGATAGAAAGCTTTCTTCCTTCAATTTGAAATAAAATAGCATACGCTAATATAATAGTTCACATATACAAGGAAAGAAATATAAGTATGTTTGATTCTGCTGCAGTTAAAATAGCACCCAGCAGTGAAAATTTGAAGAATGTCTAAAGGACTGGAAAATGGAAGCATTTCTCAACTGTACTTTTAACACAAACATCCTTTATCAAGATGTTCTTTGTCAAATGTGACTTTTTCTAAAACTAATCAGTTACCTACCTTGTTTCTAGCATAGATATCCTGAAGTTTTTCTATTCTGCCTTTAGCTGCCAAGCATTTGAACAGAAAAATATTTCTACTATGTCTGTTTCTGTTGAGCTTTATCCAAATTAATGTGTTCAGTTAAAGAAAATCATTGGCCTGAATCCTCTGGGCAAGTTGACTTGTGCTTAGTACAAGTGTAGGGAATAAGGATAAATGGATAGACTAGATTGTTCTGTTTCTTCTGGTGGTAGGTTTAAGTTGCTTAATTTTGTGGTGCTCATGGCCCGTAGGAGGCTATTTCACCTGGTAGACTAAGTACCTCCAAGCAAATCTGATGAGTGTGTAGACTAGGAGGAGGCCCAGAGTATTTACATTGTTGCATAAAAGCCTTTATATCTGCTTTGGATATAAACAAGAATATTATTTAGATTATTTCAGTATTTCTTTTGTTTATTGTTACCTGACCACAGTTCTGTATCTTACAGGTATCTTTGCTCCCAGAAAACGACAGATGGAGTGAAACTAGATCCCAGTTGCTTGCACAGATGGATGTCTGTATGGGAGGAAGAGTAGCAGAAGAACTCATATTTGGAAGTGATCACATCACAACAGGTCAGCTGATTGGTAGTTAAAAGAATTTTTGATCAAAGCTTGTGCACTGGCATGTTTAACTTGGTTTCAATAACATAATTTAAATCTGTTTGCTATCTAGGTGCTTCCAGTGATTTTGACAACGCTACTAAAATTGCAAAACTGATGGTGACTAGGTTTGGAATGAGTGAAAAGGTAGTATCATCAATCCTTAAATATTTATATGGTACAAAGAAATGTTCTGTTCTGTAACTAAATGCCTATTTGGCTGTCAGTGATCACGGAGACTAAGTAGTTCTGGCAAAAAAGAAAGTAAGCCTTATGACTGGCCCTACTATAGAGGACTCAACTAGAAAACATGTATATTTGACAGTTTAAAAACTAACTTGCAAGATCTTCACCTCAAAATTACCTTGGAAGTTACTAATGTCTGCAGAAAATGTTTATAATAAAACCAAGGATTTTGGAATTGAGGATAATCTTGGGTTTTAAGAGGGGGGGTGGATGACAACGTTGAGTTTTCTAGATTTCTGAAGAAACTTCGTTCGTCATCTTTATTACCCATCAAGTGTTAGTAGTCTAGGGATTTTGTTTTGTTTTTTTAATTAAGAAAATGCTTAATCAGGATCTATACTGTGACCTGTTGAAATAGGACTTTGCAGTGACTACATAGTTGATGAATATGCTTCTTGTTTTGCTTCTGTTGCAAGCACTTTGGCAAGCATTTGATTAATGATTTTATTTGTCGGCACACAGAGGTAATAGGTGATGAATTTCTTAGTGTTTTATGTGTACTGCAACAATGACAAGATTTTTTGTTGTTGTTGTTGTTGTTTAGCTTGGTGTTATGACCTATACCGATACAGGGAAAGTTAGCCCTGAAACTCAGTCTGCAATTGAACAGGAAGTAAGAACACTTCTACGGGTAAGATTCTCTCCCCCTCCACTCTGATACATTTATTTTGAGATGAGTTGAGCATCAGCATACTTGATTATTCAGTTTGCTGATGTACACTGGTGAAAATACACAGGTGGATGGAAGTATTCCCAAGTATTTAATGTAGCTGCAACTTTGAATCTCTGCATATCAAAACTTTTTGGTGATTGTCATGCACAAGTAGTGAGAAACACGTTGGTAGTGTTGGGTTCTTTAATGTATTCTTTAACACTTCCTTTTACATTTTGCCAGGATTTGTATTTTGCCTATTCAATTCATAGGAGAAAAAGTATGGCTATAAATTTTTTTAGAACAGATGTGAATGTTTTGTGTTACTCCAATATTTTGTAACTTGCAGCTAAATAATTTTGTCCAGAATCACAGGAATGGCCATACCAGATCAGAGAGTTGCCTTTTCAAGTATCCTTTTCCTCACAGTGATCAGCATCTGATGCTTAGGGAAATTTGTAATACTTGATAATCACAGAACTTCCAGATCACTGTTCTGGTAATCTGAATTAGTTTGGTACAGGCAGGAGAATTATTTATATCATAACACTTAAACAATTAACATATTTTGAACTGACTTGGTCATGTAAGAACTGTCTAGGTAGAACTAAAAGTTGAAGCTGGTAATGCTGGCAGTGTGCACCTACTTGTGGCAACTGGTAACTTCTTGGGTAGCTTTCAGCTTTCTAAAAGTACATAATACTTTGAGAGTTTTATAAGCTTTTAAAAAGCTTACGTGAGGAACATTCCTTGAATGCTGTAACACTGCTCATAATGTAAAATCAAATATATTTAATTTAATCAGCAAATTTCTAAATCTAGTAAGTCTTTTCTAAGTCATATGTAAAAATACTAAGGTTTGTCTCAGGATTTTATTTTATTTTTAATCCTACTTCTGCAAAATGCAAAGGTGGTATAAAGGGTAGTTTTTGTTTGGGTTTTTTGTTTTTGGGTTTTTTTGTTGTTTGTTTTTGGTTTTGTTTTATTAATTATGCCAGCTAGATTTTAAATCTTCATGAGAAAGGAGCTGTGCTAGCTATTAAATGTAAGGCACAACTTTAAATGTTTTGGGTTTTTTTTCAAGCTGTATTTACCTGGGAACAATTTTTAAAGTGGCATCTCGCTGGTTTTTTTGTTATAAAGTCTTAAAATCTCCTTCCACCTTTTTTTAATACTAGGACTCATATGAGAGAGCAAAGAACATCCTGAAGACTCATGCAAAAGAACACAAGAATTTAGCAGAAGCTTTATTGAAATATGAGACTTTGGATGCCAAAGAAATACAAATTGTTCTAGAGGGAAAAAAACTAGAAGTAAGATGATAACTTCTGGGATACAGTAACTGGTAATTTGAAGAATGTACATCTAGCAATGCAGTAGTCTTATGCAGCATAGCCTTTTTTTCCCTTCCTGATGTGTGTATGGCATTAGTGACACTTTAATATTATTCTGTCTCTTGTGAGCTTCTGTTACTCATCTATTTGTTGTGTCTCATCAGAGTAAGACACACAAAATAAAGCAAGTTCCTCATCCTCTGCTCCCTATACTCTTCCCACAAGAAGTTATTCAGAAGGATAAATCTCAGGGTTGAAGTCAGCATTTTGGTTCAGTCAAATGTGTTGAAGCTGAGAAGAAAAACATACAGATATACTGGTGTGTTTTGGCATAGCTTCCTGGGTCGTGCCGCTACATGTGCGTTTGAAGTGATAACCCCACAATATGTGCTATGGAATGTTTTATGGATAGTGACAGATTTGCAAAACCATAGTATGTAGTCTAATGCTCATGCTCTGTTTGAGGCTAGAGATCACTTTTAAAGAAGACTTCTTTAGAAATGTAACAAAACATCTCTAAGAATGAAGCGGGTAGACAGTGCATCTCTATTAAAGTGAGTTGTGGGAGCTCCATGTTAGACAAAAACATTAGCGATTGTGTTTTCAGGGCTCGTGGGGTTAAAATACACACATGTATGGCTGGGAGAGAAATTTTAGTGCAAAAATAACAGGCTAAACATGTCTAAGCCTCTTTGGACCATGTTTTGGGCAGAACTGTGGCAGGGATAAGAGAAATACCTGTAACCTCTGATGTGCTGCTGACAAGATTCTTAGAATTTTTATTACTGCAGTAGATGGATAACAGTGCTTTGACAGTGCTTTTACACTGCTGGAGATTCTACAGAACTAGTTTCTACTAATACTGTGTATGGGCGTTTGATAATCCAACAAATAATCTCTTCAAAGAGGGCAATATTGCTCGCTAAAGAGTAGTTCAGAAAATGTTTGAAGCACGTGTTGTTTCAAATAACATTCCCAGTTCTGTTCTACAGTAGAAGTAGGGAAATAAAAGCTTTTTTTCCGACCCTTACAGAAACGTCTGGAAATTCTAAGATAAGAAGTTTTTGAAAAAAAGAAAAGCAGTTTCCACTCAAGTGGAAGTAATTGCTAGCTATTATATGCCAGTATTCTTCTGATCTCATGGAACTGGTTTTTAGGAATAACACATCTTGATCATAATCTTTCTGCACAATTAATTGTAGACTCTTGGGACTATAAACTTCTGTTGCAGAGAGGGCCTTTATTAGCATATTAATGTTGAAAGTTACCATACTTGGACATTAAAATAGTTGGGCTGGTGCCAATAAATGTGAATGGAAATTGGTAGCTACACTTAAAACTAGAAGTAACATGGTATTTTAGAATTTTCTGAGTGTAATGCTTGATTATAACCTAGTTTTTTAGTAAGAGCACATGCATTTTTTTTCTTTCAAAATCAGGGTAATTTTCTGTTTGCCTATTTTTGTCAGCTTACTATAGTGACATCCCAGTGCAGTGTGGGAGAACTGCCAAATGTTATAAAACAGTATACCAAATGTCTAGGCTGACTAGTTACAGTTGTACATGCATTCTAGGAATATGCCAACAGAAACATAAATATACTGCATATTTGGCATCTGTTTTTGGAGTAATAAAGGTTAATTTTAATTATGCATATTGGTTTTCTTTTTATTCACTGTAAATTGCTATAAAATGTAATAACAAGTTCCCTATTATGTAAATTGAGGTGTATAAAACATTTAAACTTGTAAATAAATTTAAGAATGATGGCAAAATTGCACTCTGTAATTAGATTCTTAGGGAATGTTCTCCCTAGAAATTTAGACCTTTTTCTCAATCACTGCTTCAGTAGTTGGACTTGAATGGGAACTTTCCCGCTAAATAATGTGAACCTGCATTTAGAAACAAAAGCAAAAAAACTTTTCACTTTTCAAGTCACTAAAATCTATATTGAATGATCTGGTTTGGGGGGTAAGTCCTTGAGGTCTAACTTATTTTTCTCATTCAAAAGCTTCTTGCTACATGCAAAGAAGAAATGAGCACAGTCTCAGGAAAAAAAAAAAAAGGCAGTATCTCATTGGGTCATGAAAGAAGATTGTTAAGACATCAGCCACCAAGTGTAAAAGGTATCTTTGCTTTCTGGCCAACTTAATGGCAGAGGTGTTAATGAAGTTTACTGTCATACCTAGATGGTTGTGTGCATGCAATATCTGTGGGGTTTCAAAAGAAACTTGTCTGTTTAAGCATTGGGTTTGACCTCTGGTGTTCTTGGGTGCATCTAAGAGCTGAAATTCCCCCTCGTAATTATTGGGCAGAGTTAGGAGACCACAAAGGCAGTTTCCAAGCATCAGTCAGTGAGAATAACCTCAGTTCCCTTTAAGTTGTTGAAAGCAGGACAAAGCTAGGTGCTTTGACAGACTTTGCTTTTTAAATAGCCCTAAACTGGTCACAAGCACAGTGGCACATAAGAACTTCAAACTTGGGCATGATTCTGAATTTTCTGCGCTCCTGAGGCTGACTTATGCCAGAATTCTGCCGTCAAGATTAATACAAAGAAAATGCAAACTTCCAGAGGAAGATGTGGCCTGGCCTTTCCATCCACTTCGTACTGTGTGATGACCTGAGTCAGCTGAAGTGTCACAAGTTTTCTAAATCTTGATCCCTTAAACTGGCTGTGAAAATAGAGCAATCAAGCCTTTAGTAGCTGTCTGCTCTCTTGATCTGCTCGGAAACCTTTCCTAGAAGCAAGTAAAGCTGTTTTTGCTTCTAAAACATGGTCAAAGAACAGGGCAAGACGTGAGAGTACCCGCTTTTAAGTAGGCTGCTCGCTCCGCTTCCCTCAGAAGTAGATTTCCATTCTCTTTTTCCCAGAGCGTGACTCCTGTTCCTTCTATCTAGTGTTTATTAAAATGCCTTCCTCTGGTGTGGGCCAATGGGAGTGCATCATCTGCTCCTTTGGCAGCTTCATCAGTGCAGAAATGGCTGTATCATTTGCCATAATAAAAGCACCAATATGGACATTGAAGGATTTAATGGGAGAATGGGGGACTCTGGTGCATGGGGTTGGGGTTTTTTGTTTTGTTTTGTTTTTTCTTAAATCTAGCTTTGTGGTTAGTGCCCTGTCCAGGAAATTTAATGCTGCTGGCTGAGATTCAGTGGTATACTATATGGGCTGCGGTAGTACTGGGTTTTGACTTCCACCTCAGGAGCAGATTTCCTTGAAGCCTGATGCTAGTTTTCAGCATTTGACTACTCTTTCAAGAACTGCTTCTCCTTCTATGAACAAAACTTGCTCTTCCAACTCTGGTGTTGTAAGACCTGTAACTTTTTTTATAAACATTTACCCATTTTAGCTACTTTCACAGTAGAATATTCAGCTGCCTTAGTGATGAAACAACACACCTAGATTTGGTTTGAGTATCAAAACTGGAACAAGAAGGAAACACAACATTCTCTGGACATAGAAATTTGCAGTAAAGGTCAGGATACTTTTTGCAGAGAATTTAATGTAAGAATTCTCAGGCTGTTGTAGGTAGAGGAGTGGATGGTAGGGCATTTGGTGGTTTTGTTTGTTTTAATCTCCACAAAGTAAAAAAAGCCTATTGCTTTAGGACCTAGGGACAAAAGTACATATGGAAAGACCTATCAGCTGAGGTGTAGTTCTGGTTTTATGCACGTTAAGTATTCCCCCAAAAAACAGCTTTGTGCTTGACTTTATTTTGCTTTTACAAAGGGAGGGATATATAATGTGTCTTAATGATGACTATAGTTGTTACTCTTCAGACTAACATATCTCTAAAGGTTTTATTTTCAGCCATCACTGTAGTATTTGAGCTACTAACATATAGTATTCATATATTCATAGCAAAGTTTCAGGTGAACTCCATGTGGTCTCTGGCACTTTTTTTCCAATTTGAGAGGGTGTGCACAGAATCAAAATTTTTTGAGAAGTTTTGGGGTTTAATTTTCTTTTTTGTGGCAACTTTGTTAATAATGGCTTTTGGACAGAAAGTTGCCAGTGTTCTTTGATAAATGCTTTTGTTGCGTTCCAGATTGAGCCAATATTGAGTAACTGTGCACACAGTTTTCTTGGCTGACACTGATTTATCTTGAGCTTTGTTATGTAGCTTTCATAGTAACTCTAAATGGGAATTAATTTAATGCCTTAGACTATGATTCCTCTGAAAATTAGCATCAGTACTTCCACTTTGTCCTGGAAATTAATTACCAATTTCTGAGTGACTTAACTTCCAGTCCATTGTCCCCATAAACAGAGAAATCATGAAGGAAATAGAAGGATTCTGCCCTGTCTACTGGGTCTCATGCAACTGGTCAGAAATCCACATGGAACAGAGGCAGTCCCTGGCTTTCTCACAGAAAGAAACTCTCATCTCTCAGAAGAAACACTCCACAGCTGCAGATTTGGAACGAATGCTTTAGTAACTCCTAGACCAATTTCTCCAAAACTGCCAACATCAGTTACTATTGTTCATTTGATTTCCAACAGGTAGCTCATTAAATTGGTGACAAATTATGTACTGTCTTTTCATCCAGTGTCTTGTCCCTACAGCTTAAAAGACCACCTCATATATTCATAGCTCTTATTCAGTGAAAGGTCCTCTGCTCTATCACTGCATCACAGGATGGGTTGTCACTGATAAAGACAGTCATATATGGGTTTATAGTTTTGGGACTGACCGGCTTAAACCTGAGTTATTTTTTCACTTCGTCCTCAATCGGGTGTTGATTCCCTCTAATGAATCCTTGCCCTGTCATGCCATGGCACAGCATCTTCCATGGTGGTGACCCAGGAGGTCCACACAGGTTCAGTCACCTACAGCATATCCCTTCACAGACTGCAGCCAACAGAAGCTACACACAATCTTCTTAAAGCTACATAATGTTTAATCTTAGCAAGAGAACAGGACACTACAGAAAGACAGATGTGAACAGAAAATGTGAGTCAGTTTGCCTTCCCTAAGGGTTTCTCGTGCTGCATTAAAAGCCCAAGCAGACTTTGTCTCCTGAAGGCTTATGAGTTGTTGCAGTCTGAGGTAGTCCTGACCTCTTGTAATCTTGCTGTAAAACCTCCAGGTTTGAGCCTCCTGGGGGAAAGTTGTCTTCAGGCTCAGTGTTGGGCCAAGGTAAACAGGCAGGAAAGGCAAACCAGTAGGAGTTATTCTTCCCTCCTGCATGCACTGCCTGACAAACTTGTAACATAGTCCATTAAGCTCATGCCAGCCATGGTCAGTGTTTATAATATTCACTAAATAAGTCACAAATAAAAAAATATTTAACAACATTTAACAACATTGACAAGATGCTAGTCAAGCACACACAAAAATGAGAAATCCAAATCCATTCTGTGCATTTTCATTTCTTCTGTTATTTTTCTTACCTGGCTTTTCTGAAGCTTTTGCTTCCCTGTTGTATTTACTTTTCTGACCTTCATTTTCTTCATTTCTTATATTCCCTGAAAGTCACTGTATTTTAATCAACATATAGTAAATATATTACATTTAACTTAGTCACGGACAATCTTTATCATTTCTAAACCTAAGCTCTAGCTTTTTAGATTGGGTATTGTGGGGTGATCTGCCAAAGTTTCCAAAAAAGGTTAAAAATACCGGAATAAAAACAAGACCGTGAAGAGCCCCAAACAAAATAACAAGGAACATGATCTTGAAAAATGTTCTGAAGATGTAGGCTTTTGCTGCAGCCAGGACAACTACTCCTAGTATAGTAGAAAGTGCACCTTGTAATACTGGGTAACCTAGCAGGTACAGAGCTTCAATTGCCCTTTTATTGGCTGATGACTCTCCACTTGTAACAAAGGCATAGGAAATATGAGCAGAAAAATCTACTGAAAACCCTATACAAATAACCAGGTTGATCATGGATATGGAATCTAGATTGACGTTCCAAAATGTCATGAAACCAGCAACACCAACTATAACAGAAACTATAGCAAAAGTCACCCACAATGAACACAATGGGTTGGGAATAAGCAAAAGGGAGACGACGAGCATTGCCCCGGCAGCAACGACAATGTTCTGAACAGTGTTCTGCACTATTACCAGGTACTGATCGTAGTAGATGAATGCTGGGTGATACACCATTAATGGAATACTGCACTGCTCGGCCGTCTCTCTTAACTGATTGAGAAGATTCTTCTCGTCAATGGCTGAAGTCACGTTTACCGTCTGGATGAAGAAACGTGAAGCTTCTATTTTATCCTGAGTCTTGTTAATGTCCCACTCAAAACTGGGAACAATTTTGAACAACACACTTAAGTTCTTAATGAAAAGAGTCTTATTGCTTATATTTATCAAACCTTCTTTGGCAAGTCTTGTGTATACTCTCAGCCATGACTCTGTGAAGTTCTTGTCTACATAGGAAATGTCCTCTAAATTCTGTGTGCAGTTCTCGATGACAAGACAAACAGTCTCATTCCAGTAATCTACACTTTCAGTAATGACAACCATGACCCTGGGTCCATATGCTGAGAAGTATTTGTCATCGTCATCATAGTATGGAATAACGTACGAGTCATCACTCGCCAGATTTCTAAGATCAATGCCTTCCCTGATCTGAGTACATCCATAAATACTGCCACCCAAATATGTTCCATACAGCAATACCACAAGTAGCTTGATCCATTTATTTGTGAAGAAAGGGCCATAATACTTTTTAAAGAATATGCTCATTGGATGTTCACTTTCTGGCTGTTTGGTTTCTACCTCAGATGACTGCCCAGAACAGCTGCCTATACAGCAAACATTGTACAAGCAGGACTTCTCAGCCTGATCTTCACCTACTCCCACAGGCATACAAGTTAGCCAGTGTCGGTTTCCTTGCTCCCTTTTATAATTTAATACAATAACTGCCCCAAAGAAGGTCAAGGTATATATATAGCAGAAGACAAAAGCAGTGCCTGTGTAGAGGCAAAATGATCTCACGGATGGAAAAGCAGTCCAGACGCCAATGAAAAAGGCCAAAACATCTGTGAGAGTGGTGATAGTCACAGAAAGTGCTGCTTCTGTGTAAGTCTCAGCCAGCAGAGATTTAACATCAGATTTCTCTTTTTTTCTTAAACTTTGTTCCCAGGAAGCAATCATGATAAACATGTCATCAACACCAACTCCTGCAAGAAGAGAAAAAGTTAACCCTGCATTGCAAGTGGCAGCTTCCACTACCACCCAATAAAAGTACAAAATTAATCACATTTAAATCTGCATAAAATTTTGGAAAAGAAAGTTAGGATACGAACATTACTTTAGTGCTGATGCAAGTTGAACAGATACAGGAAAACAGAACCTTTGTGTGTAGCTGAATTTATTACATTTCAGAAACTCCTGGTGACCTGATGGGTTGTTGAGACCTCACCCTACTTTGCTGAAGGACTGAGCACACCTAGTCCATCTCTGACGAGAGTGCTGTATCTGCTGTCCAGGTGTCTGGTGATGTAGATTACATAGATCGAAATACATCGCTTTTTCTGATGCTCAACTACTGTTATCACAGGAAGCATCCCCCATTATTTCTGGAATCTCTTCTTCATCACTGCAGCAAATTAGAGCAATAATTTCTTGCTCTGCCTTCAGCAGACAGGGAGAACAGTTGCTATCACATGGGACAACAGTGATCCCAGTTTTCCAGTGGTTTGCTTTTTTATGCTCTTTGCTCTCCACTTATCTTCTCTCCAGTTTATCTTTCAGTATTTATTCATGATTTATTATTTGTTTATCTTCACATTTATAATGATGCGCTCACATGTACTACCCCCCACAGTCCTGGGAAACCCTGCCAGAAAGACTGGGTCCTGGGCTAGTTTTTGCTAAAACACGAGAGTCAGTGAGCTGAAGTTCAAAAAGGAAGAGCCAGTGTGCTTCTCTCAGCCCTGCTAACTCTCGAGATTTTAATCACAGACCTTTCAGTATTTTGCCAATGTTACTCTATCAAGGACTCTTCTACTCCCTGAAAATTAATCACACAAAAAGGGAAAGCAAGACCACCTGAATAGAGGAGCAACACAGATGATACAGCTAAGCACAAAAGAATAGATGACATCACTATCTGCTGCCTGAACAGACAATTGCCAGTAGACATGCAGAGAGGAATTCAGCAGCATCTCAAAAGGTACTACTGGATGGCAGCGAGCCAGGCTGATTCCAGAAAGCAGGCAGGCTTCAAAGCAATTAACCTAATGTACTGATAATTTGTTTGCTTTAATGCAAGGAAGACAAAAGTCTGCATTTTATTTATCAAGATCTGAAGAGACTAGCTTAAGCCCCTTCACTGTGTCCTGGTTTTGACTGGGACAGAGTTAATTTTCTTTCTAGTAGCTGGTATAGTGCTATGTCTTGAATTTAGTATGAGAATAATGTTGATAACACACTGATGTTTTCAGCTGTTGCTAAGTAGTGTTTAGACTAAGTCAAGGATTTTTCAGCTTCTGATGCCCAGCCAGCAAGAAGGCTGGAGGGGCACAAGAAGTTGGGAGGGGACACAGCCAGGGCAGCTGGCCCAAACTGGCCAAAGGGATATTCCATACCATGGGACGTCATGCCCAGTATATAAACTGGGGGCAGTTGGCCAGGGTGGGGTGGATTACTGCTCGGGAACTAACTGGGCATCAGTCAGCGAGTCGTGAGCAATTGCGTTGTGCATCCTTTGTTTTGTATATTCCAATTGTCATATTATTATAATCATCATCATTATTATTTTCTTCCTTTCTGTCCTATTAAACTGTCTTTATCTCAACTCACGAGTTTTACTTTTTCATTTTTTGATTCTCTCCCCTGTCCCACTGGATGGGGTGGAGTGAGTGAGCAGCTGTGTGGTGCTTAGTTGCTGGCTGGGGTTAAACCATGTCACCCAGGTATACAAAAGGGTCTTTCTGAAATTTAGAGCCTCTGCAATTGATAAGCAACCAAAAGCAAATACAAAATGCATTTGAATTATGCAGGAAACAAAGAAACAATGCATGCCCTAGGGATCATCTGCATTAGACATCTAGTATGACGCAAAGCCTTTATCAACCCGCATGTGCTTTCCTCAGCATGAGACCAAGACCAAGAAAAGATCACATGAATTTATCATGTAGGAGACCAGATAAGGATTTTAAAAGCAGTAATTTATTTGCAGCAATGTTACCTAATGGTATTTGGAAAGTTCAGCACTGGCTGTCAAGCAGCCTGTGCAACTGTGATGCAATGATACTAACTTCCTTGCATTTTTGGGGGGGAGCTGGTTGCATGAATGGTGCATCACTTCAGCTGTATAGCTAAAGGAGACGGTTTAGTACACAGTCATTATATTGCAGAGAAAATTTCACATCTTAACAAAATGAGACGGATTACTTATTTGAAATTACAGACAGTCCTGCTCACTGCTTAAACTGTATTCAGGCCCAATTTTATCTGACCAAAGACTACATTCTCAAAATGGGATACAAAAACTTATGGTAACTTGCTTCCCATATTCACCTCGTAATACAGGTACTGGATTGAGTCAGTGCCAGCGTAGCATGAGCTGTACACTGGGCACATGTTCCATGGTGCTGCTGTTGAGCTACCCTGAGGCTGACTAATGGCAGAGAAGTAGGGAGCTCTCACTGTACCCCAAAAAGAGGTGGTCAAGAGGTGGATGATTTGGGGAAGACCTCTGCACCTGCTTAAATCGCTGACAAATTCAGAAGTCCCATAGAACAATACTAACAACAAACTGTTTTGGGGTAGACAAACTTATCCAGAGCTAATAAGATATGTAAATGCTTAGAGTATGCCTATAGAAAACAGCAGGGGATGACACAGGGGAATGCAGGGACAGAACCCAGTTGAGCTCACCTCAAGTATCAGCACTAGTTAAATAAATGATTAGTCATCATGGCTAAATTACCAGGGACGCTAGGATAATGCCCGAAGTGCTAACCTTTCCACCCTCTTATTTATAGTTTTCATGCCATAGCACTGGAACTAGAGCAGGCATCGATTTTTGGGAAAAGCTGCCCTTCTGGCAGAGCCCAGCTCCAGTCCCAGCGTGGGTACGCTGAGCTGAGCGGCTCACCCACCTGTAGGAGCACAGGCGAGGCTGCACCTCCAGGTGTCTCCTCCCCTCACTGCAGGATGGAACTGCCTATGATCTGACGCTCACATCATAAAAGACTAACACCTTCAAGTTGTTTTAACTCCTCTCTTCATATCTGAAACCGACTCGCTTTTTCTACTTACCCAGAATAAGAAATGGTGCATTTGCTACAGTGACCACAAATGGCACTCCACAGAAGAGCATCAATCCAAAGCTGCTTAACACAGCTAAACCGGCAGAAACCACTCCACAGCATGCAAGCCAGACATTATTTCTTATACAGCTCAGTCTGAAAATATTTTAAGGAATAGCTTAGTTACAGGTCAAATATTTCAGCAAGGTGTTTGGCATGACAAGTGCACAGATACCAACAATATCCTGTCTGTGAAGGGAACTCTTGATGAAAGCTGCTATTTGCTAAGAGACCTCCCAGGTGTGAGCACTGGACAAGATTAATTTATATAGGAGCTGCTAAATAAATTATTACTGCTGGGCAGTTATATACCTAAGAGTAAAGATGTGTACTGATCTTTGCATCCTGGCAAAATGAAGGCACATAAGCGCTACCAGAGAGAGGCTAGATTTAGGGTGACCCAAAAAATTATGAATTTTCAGCTTTTTCCTTTCACATTCGTTCTTGGTGTAGCATAGAAGCACCTCCCAGGCAGTAAGTGCTGCGTAGAAAAGCCTTCTCAGCAGACAGATTGGGTACCAGCCATTTGCCAAGATGCCCCCGAGGGCTGGCTCGTGGGTTCCCCATGAAATGCTCTCAGTGGGAGACTTCACACCACACTGAGGGGGTAAAGAGTTGCCTCTTGCCTGACTAGTAATATTTTCCAGGCTGTAGATTATTTCTGAACTTTAAGAGAATCTCATTTCCGAGGCAAGAAGCGTGTGTTGGTGGAACTGCCCTTGCTCTGTCTGCGCTCACAACCAACCATATGCGAGGCAGCTGATATCCAGAAATTGTATAGCCTCATGGGCATGATGCTTGATGCAAGCGCTAAACCAGTAAGCCCACCCTCAGAGTAGAACTTTTTTTCTCAAGCACAGCACACAAAAACTGCCGTACAGTTGTCAAACGTACAATGGTTCACCTTCCACCAGCACAAAGAAAGGGCAGGCTAAGTTCTTTGTGGACAGCAGGTAAGGCTCAGACTCTACTAGCAAGCAGAATACCTAAAGCTGTACCCAGACCTGCAGTCATCTATGAAGCTAGTGCTCATTCATCTGTACCTTAACCGAGCAGGTGGCAAAAAAAAAAGTGTAAATGGATTTTAACATGGTATACTTCCTCCTCCCTCCCCTGCTTCCTTCCCCTTTTTAACTGACCTTTACAAAGAATTAGCATCTTGCAGGCAGGATAAGCAAGAAAGTAGTAGAATAACCTTAGCAATAGCACCACTTATTCCTTCCCTCTGCCCAAATGACAACTTTTCTGTTTGACTTCTATGCATTTTTTTGGTGAATGTCTCCACTGGGTATGCCAAGTTGAGCTGGTAAGTTTTGTTCAACAGAAGTGCTTATGCAGAATTTTGCCACTGCCAGGCTGGCTAGGCAACACTTCTGGCCCCCTTCCTGCATAAGGTAAAGTAGAACCCTTTCATCATTAAAAGCGTTTACTTTGGCATAGTGTTTTCCAGTGCCAAAGGTGCTGTAGCACCTCAGACCTCTTAAAAAGAGAAAGAGCAGGGGGTTGTTTCAGTTGTTTAAATAGTGTCAAAACCATCAGCTACAAAAAGGACTCTTACGAGGCGGGGACTACAGAAATGACTGATGGCTTCTGAGAACAGACGAACGGATACTAGCATTCAAGCTGTGCATGTCTGAACTGAATGCTTGCTCAGGTATGCGTCTGGTGCTTATCACGAACCCCATTTCAGCAGTTAGGAAATGCGCACAAGTAGGAGAGAAACAGCGAAGAAATACATTTTGCCTATTATTAAATGTCACGTGAAGTCTGCATGTTCAAGAACGACTTCACTTGACAAGAGCAGAAACGAATTTAGGCAAGGTAAAGAGCGGAGGTCACTTCTCATTGATCCATAGCTTAGAGAAGACATGTTACTTTAGGCAAGAGACGACTGAAAAGGTTATGGTCAAGAAGTAGGTGACGGAGAAGAGTGGGATCACGCTCTTGGCATTTCCTTCAAACTCCTGTTGTCTGGACAGCGAGGTAAAGTAAGTCACCTGTTGTTAAAGCAACAAGGAAAGAGAAGATGAAGGACTTGCACTCTTCTTCGTGGTCTTCACACGCACGCACATGCAACGCCCGACACCATGCCGGCACCGACGCAACCTGCAGGCCGTCCCGCCTTTCCCGTCCCCCGTCCCCCGTCCCCGCCGGCGACGGGGCAGCCCGGGCACTTGGGGTCTCGGCGGCCCCCGCGTTACCTGAACGGAGGTGAAGTCCAGCGCCGCCAGCTGCGACGGGAACTCCCGCAGGAAGCCTTCCAGCCACCGCCGGCTCTCCGCCGCCGCGGGGCCGTCCTCCTGCAGGTAGTACACCAGCTTCAGGGCCCGCGCCGCCAGCACCCGCCCGCCGGGGTCCGTCTGCACGCCGCCCAGCGCGGCCCCCAGGAACCTGCCGTGGTTGACGGGGAAGGTGAGGTTCTCCAGGTCGGCCGCCGCCCCGTCGGCCAGCAGCGG